GCTCAGGTCATGATCCTGGAGTCCCGGGATCGAGTCCCGCATCGGGCTCCCTGCTCGGCAGGGAGTCTGCTTCTCCCTCTGGCCCTCCCCCCCTCTCATGTGCTCTCTCTCATTCTCTCTCTCTCAAATAAATAAATAAAATCTTTAAAAAAAAAAATTATGCTAAGTGAAAAAGCCAGTCACAAAAGACCATATATTATAGGATTCCATTTATATCAAATGCCCAGAATAGGCAAATTTTTTAAAGATAGAATGTTTAGTGGTTACCTAGGGCTGGGGTACGTATGTTAGGAAAATGAAGAATGAATGGATAGGAAATTGCCTTTGGGGGTTATAAATTTTTTTCAAATTGATGATGGTAATGATTGCACAACTCTGAATATACTAAAAAAACTGTACACTTTAAATGGGTGCATTGTATGGTATGTCACATACCTTAATAAAGCTGCTATAAAATTTTCAATTAAATATGAACTGCATAAACAACAGAGAAAAATCAATTAATCTAAAGCTGCTTTTTTAAAAAGATCAATAAAATAATAAACTTCTAGCTTAGAAGAACCAAGAAAAAAAGACACATATTACCAGTATAGAAAAGAGGGGCATCACCATAGATACTATCAATATTAAAAGGGTAATGCAGATATACTTTAAAGACATTTATTGCAACAAATTTGATAATTTAGAAGAAATAGACAAAACCAAAACTGATAGAAGAAAATTTTTTTAAAAACCCTGAATAGCCCTGTATCATTTGAATAAATGAAATCAGTCATTTAAAATGTTCCCACAAAAAATACCCTAGTTCCAGATGGATTCACTGGTTAATATTTATTCACTATTTGAGGAAGACATAATAGTTATCTTACTGAAAGTTTCAGAAAATGGGAGTACTTCCAAATTCATTTTGAATCCAGCACTACCCTGATGCTAAAAGTAAAGTTATTACTAAAAAATAAAAAGTTAAAGACCAAAATCTTTCCTGAACCTTGCTGGAAAAGTTTCTAATAAAATCTTACCAAATCTAAATTGCAACATATAAAAAAGACAATGCAGCATGACCAAGTGGGATTTATCTCAGAAGCAGAAAGTTGGTCTAACATTTGAAAACAACCAATGTAATTCACCATGTTAACTAAAAAAGAAAATCCATATGGTTCTCTATATAAGTGTGGAAAAAGCACTTGATAAAATTTAACACATCATGAACAACAATAACAAAAAATTCTCAGCAAACTAGAAATAGAAAAGAACTTCCTTGGGGTGCCTGGATGGCTCAGTCGTTAAGCGTCTGCCTTCGGCTCAGGTCATGATCTCAGGGTCCTGGGATCGAGCCCCGCATCGGGCTCTCTGCTCAGCGGGAGGCCTGCTTCTCCTTCTCCCCCTCCCCCTGCTTGTGTTCCCTCTCTTGCTGTGTCTCTCTCTGTCAAATAAATAAATAAAATCTATAAGAAAAAAAAAAAAGAAAAAAAAAGAAAAGAACTTCCTCAACCTTTCTCTTGCTGAGAGCTATTAAAGAAAATTTAAATAAACGGAGAGAGATACTAATCATGGATTAGAAGACAATATTGTTAACGTACCAGTTCTCTCTAAGTTAAAATGTAGATTCAATGAAATCTCAATCAAAATACAACAGCCCATTATGTAGAAACTATGAGCTGATTCTAAAATTTATATAGGAATATGAATGGCCTAAAACAGCCAGAACAAACTTAAAAAAAAAATTAAGTTGGAGTGCTTATATTATCTGATTTTAAGACTTATCATAAATCATAGTTATCAAGACAGTGCAGTATTAGTATACAGACAAATAGGTCTGTGGAACAAAATGGAGTATTCAAAAATATACCTATACATATATGATTAATTTTGACCAAGTTGTCAAAGATGGGAGAACAGATGGTCTTTTCAACAAATGGTGCTAGAAAAATTAGATCTACATGGAAAAAATCCACTTCAGTCATTATACCAGGCAAAAAAATCTATTTGAAATAAACCAGAAACCTGGGGCACCTGGGTGGCTCAGTCATTGAGTGTCTGCCTTCATCTCAGATCCTCAGATCGTGATCCCAGGGTCTGGGATCGAGCCCGGCATCGGGCTCCCTGCTCCGCGGGAAGCCTGCTTCTCCCTCTCCCACGCCCCCTGCTCGTGTTCCTTCTCTGGCTGTGTCTCTCTCTGTCAAATAAATAAATAAAATCTTTTAAAAAAAATTAAATAAACCAAAAACCTAAAAATGAACATTAAAACTTATAAACCTGGGTGCCTGGGTGGCTCAGTCATTAAGTGTCTGCCTTCGGCTCAGGTCATGGTCCCAGGGTTCTGGGATCGAGTCCCACATCGGGCTCCCTGCTCCGTGGAGAGCCTGCTTCTCCCACTCCCGCTCCCCCTGCTTGTGTTCCCTCTCTTGCTGTGTCTCTCTCTGTCAAATAAATAAATTAAATTAAAAAAAAAAAAACTTATAAACCTAATAGAAGAAATGTAATACTGCAAAATATAGAAGAAAATTTTTGCAACCTTGAGAAGGGAAAAGATATCTTAGGACACAGAAAGCATTAACCATACAAGAAATATTAATAAAATAGATATGAAAATTTTAAACTTAAATTTAAAATTCCACTCTCTGAAAGACATAAAGTCAGTCCACAACTGCAAGAAAATATTTGCAACACATACATTACAAGGGACTTGAAACCAGATTATATAAAGTACTCTTATAACTCAATAATAGGACAATCCAATTTTTAAAGAGCAAAACATTTGAACAGACACCTCGTTCTAATTACAAAAGAAGATATGAGAGCATCTAATTAGCACATGAAAAGAAGCTCAACATCATTAGTCACCAGAGAAATGCAAATTGAAATCACAATGATACCACTATACACCCACTAGAATAGCTAAAATTAAACAGATGAAAAACCCAACTGAGGATATGAAGTAATTTCAACTTTTAGACATCGCTGGGGGGAGTATAAAATGGTATGACCACTTTGTAGACCTATATGGTTGTTTCTTGAGAAAGTTGTCAGTTACCATATGACCTAGCAGTTCCATTATTTATCCAAGGGAAATGAAAGCAAATGTCCACAAAAAAAAAGCTTGTACATGAATATTCACAGAAGTCTTTTATTCATAATAGCCCCAAACTGGAAACAACACAAATACCCATCTGTTGAACGGATAAATACACTTGGCATATCTATATGGGAGAATGTATTTCAGCAATAAAAAAAGAACAATGTATTTGATATTCACAGCAACACGAATGAATTTCAAAACATTATTCTAAGCAAAAGAAACCAAACATAAAATATATGCATCACATCATATGATCCATTTATATGAAAGTCTAGAGCAAGCAAAACTAGTGAGAGAATGCAAATCTACTGTTGCTTGAGGCTAAGGCAGGAATTAGTACAAAGTGCACTAAGTAAACTCTTTGAGGTGATGGAAATGTTCTGCATCTTGATTTTCATCATGGTCACATGGGTATAAACTTTTGTCAAACTCAGTGAACTGTACAGTCAGTTCTACTATAATGCTTATTTTTGACAATGCAAATTTGTTCTAACACAGTACAAAAAAATGTAATATAACTTAAATTTTGATTTTATGTATGATTTCATCCACTAAAAAACACCAGATGAACACGGGAAAATTGTACCCAGCTGAAGTAAGACATGTATATGGAACCCGCCAATGTTTATGCTACTACTTTCATATATTTTACTTCAAACTGTCATAAACCCCACCATACACTGTTACTACATTTGCTTTGAAAGGTAATATTTTTAATGATAAAAATTTAAAAAAATCAGGGGGACCTGGGTGGCTCAGTCAATTAAACGTCTGCCTTCAGCTCAGGCCATGATCCCGGAGTACCAGGATCAAGCTCTGCATCGGGCTCCCTGCTCAGCGGGGATTCTGCTTCTCCCCCTGCTCCTCACCCCGCTCATGCTCTCTCTCTCTCAAATAAATCAAATCTTTTTAAAAAATGAAAAAAAACTTCCATATTTTCCCACATATTTACCATTTCTGGCATTCTTCATTCATTTGTATGAAACTAGGTTTGCATCTGGTATCATTTTTCTTCCTCTCGAAGAACTTCTTTTAACATCTCTTATAATTTGGATTTGCTGGAAATAACCTCTTTGCTTTTGTCTGCCCAAAAATGTCTTTATGTTGCTCTCATTTTTAAAGGTTATTTTCACTTGACATAGAATCCTAGATTAACTTTTTTAAAAAGCATATTAAAGTTATCATTCCATTCCTTGTTTTGGCTTATTTCTGACAAGAAATCAGTAGTAATTCTTATCTTGGTACACCTGTATTTAATGTTTCTTTTTTTTCCTCTGCTTTTCAGAGCTTCACTTTATCAGTGCTTCTTAACAATTTGAATATGATATGCCTTATATTAGTTTTCCTTTCTATTATCCTGCATGGAATTTGTTGAGTTTCTTAGATGTAGGAATCAGTTTTCACCTTGTTTGAAAAAAATTAATCCATTGTTCCTTCAATTCTTTTTTCTTGCTCCTCTCCCCTGCTCTTTTCAGGAATTCCAATTACACATACGTTAGATCACTTGGAATATTTCTCAGGTTACTGAGAATGTGTTCTTTTTATTACTACTTTTTTTCCCTGTAGCTCAATTTGAATAGTACCTATTGCAGTATCTTCAAGTTCACTATTCTTTTCTTCTGCAGTGCCTAATCAGCTGATAATCCATAGATGAATTTCCCATTCAGATACTGAATTTTGTAGCTCTAAAGTTCCCTTTGCTTCTTTTAAGTATCTTCCACTTCTCTCCTCATTATGTTCATGTCTTCCATTACATACTTGAACGTATGTATAAGAGTTACTTTAAAGTTCAGTGTTATCTGCTACTACATTAATCTCTGTCATTTTGAGTCAGTTTCTATTGATTTTCTTCTTTGCATTTTCCTGCTTAATTGCATGTCATAATTTTTATTGGGTACCAGACACCATAAATCCTATGTTCTTTTTTTTTTTTTAAGATTTTATTTATTTGACAGAGAGAGACACAGCGAGAGAGGGAACACAAGCAGAGGGAGTGGGAGAGGGAGAAGCAGGTTTCCCACCAAGCAGGGAGCCTGATGTGGGGCTCGATCCCAGGACCCTGTGATCATGACCTGAGCTGAAGGCAGACGCTTAACGACTGAGCCACCCAGGCGCCCCAGTCCTATGTTCTTAAGATCTTAGATTTTGTTTTATTCATTTGAAGTGTTGAATTTGGCAGGCAGTTACTTGCTAATCAGCTTGATCCTTTTTAAATTGTTTTTAAACTTTGCTAGTATTGGTCTAGAGTAGCCTTAACTTACAGTCCTTTTAGCCCATTCTAAGGCATGACTCTGGGGTATCTACTGAACGCCCAAGATTTTCAATGAGGTCTTGCCACTCTGGTGGCAAAAACTCATATGTATCTCCCCCATGTGTAAGCTCTGGGAATTGTCCAATTTATAGTTCCCCAGTAACAGCTTTTTGCCTGACCTATGGCATTTCATTCTATGCATGTGCTCTTTAGCAAACAGCAAAAGCTCTTTTGACATCCCTGCAGATTCCTAGAGCTTCTCTACCAAGCACCTATATCTCTGGTGCTGTGCCCCACAAACTGAAGCTGCCACAGACCTCCCATAATCTGATTTCAGTGTCTTTTATACAGAAACTGCCGTGTTCCTTGGTTTCCCCCCTCCTGTACCTGGTCTGGAAAGTGACTCCAGGCAAAACTTAATTTGACCTATGAAGCTGTAGCAACCCTCTCAGAATTTTTGCTAGTCCAAATGGGAAAAAAATTTTTTTGATTAATGTTCAAAGGAAAAAGAAAATTTAAAAATGAAACAATACTAAACTAAAAGTAAGCCTGCTCCTCAGTCCCTGGGGTTAAGTAATAGATTTAAATTGCAGCTTTCTAAGAATGAGGCTCTTTTTTTTTAGCCTAATATAGGGCTGACAAACACGGCAACACTTTAGAAAATTTTAAGACTCAGCAAATTACCTTGTACCTTGAGGTATAGGATGAAAAAAGTGTCTTAATGTTCCACCACACTTCTAATCAACAGTGTGACTATGTAGAGCACTGGACTGAGAAAAAAAAAAAATCTGAAACCATGTAGAAGTCAGTGGGAATGAATTCAGTGATTCGCACCATCTGTTGCAATTTGCCTGGTCAGAGATGGGGGATGATAGAATGTAAGCCATGAATTTGCAGTCCTAATTCTAGGTTGAGTAGTAGTATTTGAAACTGCATAATGTACCAGAAACAATACTTTTAAAACTTTAGAGGCCTAATTTTATTGAATATTGGGATTCAGATTTAAAGAGGGGGTAATGTTCAAACCCAGGTTCTAGAGTCTGACAGAGAACCCTTCATTACATAGGATAATCTGAACAAAATTAATCCCTTCCCAGGAAGCCAGTAATTTGTTGGAATCAGGAAATGATTGATTTCTATCACCTTTTAAGAAAAAATTATTTTATAAATCCCAGAAAACTCTAGCTCACCATATTACAACTTTAATCTGTGGAGAGTGATATCCTAAATTCTGTTTCCTCTACTAATGCAATTGAAAAATTCTTCAAATATTACTAGATAATGTCCATTCAGCAAAATGGTTAAAATGAAAAAGATAAACCAATTATTGGCAAGGATATGGAGCAGGTATAACTCTTACATGTTGTTGGGAGTGTATATTGTCACAACTACTTTGAAAAACTGTTGAGCATTATCAATTATAAATGAGCATATACCTAACTTATGATCCAGGAAATGCACTTCTTAGGTATATATCCAACAGAAATGCATATATATGTTCACCAAAAGAAATGGACAAGATATTAATAAGCAACATTATTTGTAACTCTAAAACTTCACTAGAATGTACAAGAATGTTCCTATCAGCATTATTTGTAATACCCCAAACTGTATAAACAATCCACACATTCATCACCAGTAGAATGGAAAAACTGTGATACATTCACACAATGGAATATTCTACAGCAATTACCATGTGAGCAAAATCAAAACTACACACAATATGATGAATTTCATAAACATACTGTTGAATGAACCCAGACCTCCCCCCAAAAATACTCATGATAATTATTATTCCATTTACATAAAGTTTAAAAATTGATAAAACAAGTATGTGGTCTTAGAAGTCATGATACTGGTCACCTTGAATAGTAGTTTCCAAGGAAGGAATGAAGGGGCTTCTAGGGTGTTGGTATTATCTATTTCTTGATCTATGTGCTAGGTACATACTTACTTTGGGAAAATTTATCAAGGTGTTCAGATTTCTGAATCTAGGTTTTAAGTCAGTAAAACTTGCCTTAAAATTACTGGGCAATAACAACAATGTACAGGTATATAGCAGAGTTGGAGCTTGAATCCTTATAGTTTGACTCCAGGGTCTGTGCTCTTAATCACTGTATTATTTTAGCACTCTACCTTAGAGAAGTATCTGCTCATACTTACAAAGACACACATAACAATTATGTTCATCAAAATAATATATTGGTAAAAAAAAAAAACCCTATCTATCAGTAGGAACTAGTAACATACACCTGGTAATATATATATATATATCAGGGTACATTTATATGATGGAGCAACATAAAAACTTTTTAAAAATATAGTAGTCATGGAATAATGCTCCAGATATTGTTGAGTAAAAGGTTAATTGTAAAACATTAAATATAGTATAATACGATCCATTTTTATCCATATGCCAACAGGCAGTTGACTGTGTAGATGTGGGAACAGAATTTGTGTTAAGTATAGAAGATTCACATGGAGCCACCAGGGAGGTTGGGTGGGGGATTCACAGAAGTTTTGGTCCGACTGAATCTTTTTACCATGGGAATCTATTCATATGTTTATGTTTAACAAAATGAAATTGACATCTCTCCCCTCCAAAAATAAATGGGCAACATTATTTTTCTGCATTCAAAGAATATTTGCTTTGTGTGTAAAAATACTTTGAGTAACAAATATTGAACTCATAGAAATAATAGCTATTGATTTCACAGAAATCATAGGAATAAATGGGCCTTAGAGATTTGTTAACCCTCCAATCAGTGCTCCTAATTCTTCCTAAATATCCATCCAAGCTGTAGTGACCTAATGTAGTGGGCATCTATTGTCTTCCGGCCCAGCATGCAGTAGCTTCTTTTGGTAAAAGCACTGCAATGTTCTCCTGGGGAATTTCTTTTACCCTACTGCATGCACTTTAGGTGAGATGATCAATTCTGTCTTCTCCTGACTAAGGAGTGGGTGTGTAAACTAAACTAGGCCAAGCAGACTCTCTGCCTTGAGAACTTAAATCTTGAGTGGAATGACAAGGTCAGAAAACAGAGCTAATTTTGTAGCTCTCTGAGGAAACTGTCCATTGTTTCCTGCTACTTAGATTCCATGAGCTGCTTCCTATACTTTCCCAATACCAGCTGTTTGACTTTTCCTTAGATTCTGTGAATCATCCCAAATCCTTATGATACATTCCTTCTCCGGTTAAGTCAGTCAGTCAATTTCCATTGACAGTAATTGAAGAATGCTAACTGATACAGCTGGATGTCAATATGCTCAATAAGAAGATCACCACTACTTTTCAAGAGTCCACAGCATTGAAATTTTGCTTAACTTTGTGCCAGAATTTGCTTCTTTATAAAATCTACACTAGTTCTAGCTCTACTTGTGGAGCTTCATAGTATCCAAGCTCCATCTTGCACTGGTATGTATTTAAAAACTACTATCATTTATACCTACTTTCTCAGCAGAAAAACTCATTTTCTCACTTAAAATATGACTACTACACACTCACTAGAAATGGCTATAATAAAAAAGACAGACAATTCCAAATGTTGACAAGGATGTGGAGAAACTAGAACCTTCATACCCTGCTGGAGGGAACGTAAAATAAGATAGCCACTTTGGAAAGCAGTTTATATGTTTATATAATTTACTTAATGTTTTTAAATGGACTTTACAAATAATCACCTATTGTAATGTCATCCCATGTCATGATACCCATGAAATCATGGTCTTTATATGTTAGTTATATTTTTCTATGATACATTAAAGATATACTTAACTGTTAATTTAAAATGTGGTTCACTTACCATTAAAATTCATTTCTTGTGCCACTAAATGGTATATACTTGTTGCCCTTTGGGAAACACTGTTTTTTTCTATTTAAAAAAAATGTATAAATTAGTTTTCATTAAAGCAATTACCAATTTAGGAAATAATAATATAAAATTTATGTAACATTTGACAAGATACAGAAAGTGTTAGACCTTTCATTCAGCAAATACTTAGTGATTGTTTTTGGTTGCCTTTTTTCAAAAGGAAGTGACTGAAGAGCTGGTGATGTGGGAAACCACCAGAACCAAGAAGTCTCTCTTCTACTCTGAACCCAACATGGCCACAGCTACGCTATTTGAGGGAAAAAGGAGACCTCCACATAGAGAAAAGGAAACAAAGGAAGTACAGCAAAATGTTAAGTGGTTATTTAAGTAATTATGGGCCATTGTTTTCTTTAAATTTTTCACTGTGTTCTTTCTCCACTTTGCCAAATTTATTTAATATGCTTCTATTATTTTTTTTTTAAGATTTTATTTATTTATTTGACAGAGACAGAGATAGCGAGAGAGGGAACACAAGCAGGGGGAATGGGAGAGGGAGAAGCAGGCTTCCCACCCAGCAGGGAACCCGACGCGGGACTCGATCCCAGGACCCTGGGATCACGACCTGAGCCGAAGGCAGACCCCAACAACTGAGCCACCCAGGCGCCCTATGCTTCTATTTTCTTAATAAAACAATATAGTAAAACTTCTTATTCCTTTGGATATGCTCAGATGAAAATATTTTTTCAACCTATTCCTTATAATAGTTACATTTCTAATTTTACACTTTGATTAAAAAATAAAAATTTAAGTGAAGATACCAACTTCTTCCACATTTTTTCAAGTATTGATATTTATATACAACCTTTTATAGCTAATCATGTTACTATGTACTAAGTTCTCAGAGCAACAGAAATAGATTATTTGCCCATTATTACATGAAAAACATATAGATATCTGCCCAGCATTACATGAAAAATATAATAAAAACTAAATGCCCTCAATGGCCAGAGTAGAACACAAAAACAATGGGTTCTGAGACCTAAAATCTTCTTGTAATTATAGCTTGATTATTCTTAAAATGCTATACGTTAAGAGAGATGACATATGGGATTTTTCAGAGAGCCATGTAGCCTAATGGATAGAATATCTGACTTTGGATATATGGAATTTGCTTTTAATTACCCTAGCAGGCATAAGGACAAACTGGCAGCTGGTGAAAGGGATAGATGTAACTAGCACAATTGCATAATGCTGGTAATTGCTGAAGCTGGGTGACAAGTAAAGAGGTGTTCATTATTTTTTAAAATTTACTGTATTTTTGAAAAAGTCTATGATAAAAGTTAAAATAGGAATAAAAGAATTCTAAATGCACTATTTACAATGACAACTAAAGCAAAGTCCATGGTATATCCAAAACAGAATAAAATGAAATAGAAAAGACCCATTATAAACAAAGCTCCAAGTGGTCTATATAATAATTTTACTTTTTTTATCTTTCTAGTCAAACGAAAAAACAAGTGTTTACCAATAAGCACAAAGCTCTTTAAAAGTTGTATGACAGGTTATGATCGCCACCTACTGGACACTGTGATTAACTGCTAGCTACAAAAAAACTCACTTTTGAGTAAGGGCACCCATATCCCGCCAAGCATCTGGTCCTTCACAAGATAATCCTAATACCATTAAATTTGGGGCACCTGGGTGGCTCAGTCGGTTAAGCAGCTGCCTTCGACTCAGGTCACAATCCCAGGGTCCTGGGATCAAGCCCCACATTGGGCTCCTTGCTCAGCAGAGAGCCTGCTTCTCCCTCTCCCTCTGACTGCCGCTCCCCCTGCTTGTGCTCTCTCTCTCTCTCTCTGTGTAAAATAAATAAGTAAAATCTTAAAAAAAAAAAAAGCAAAACATTAAATTTATGTTCACATGTATATTAGTAATATTAATATCACATTATTTCTAACAAAATGAAATGCCACCTGCAAAAAGTATATCATAAAATTTTGTCAGAAAGTATAGTGATCATTTTATGATGTCCTTATCTTACAGAAGATTCCAGATTTTGAACTGTTTTCTCACAGAGAACCCAGAATTTAAATTATTTACACACAGAGATAGACCAGAAACCTATAAATTAGCCTGGCTCTTAAATTTGGTGCATTATCTTTTTATTATGTTTTAAAAATCACTTGTAACTTTTAATTGAAAATTTTACTTTTCTTTATAACCTAGCTAATTGCATATACCAGTGATTCTCAATCCTGTTGCATTAGAATTACCTGTGGAATTTTTTTTTTTTAAGTAGGCTCCATGCCCAACATGGGGCTTGAACCCACGACCTTGAAATTAAGAGTTGCATGCTCTACTGACTGAGCGGGCCAGGTGCCCCTGGAATTTTTAAATAAGTTGTTGCTGGTACCACAGCCAGAGTTGCTTTTTTTTTTTTTTTTAATCTAGCCAGGATTAAAAGAGCCATTAGTAAATAACAAAGGTTCTCCAAGTGTTGTCCATGGAACAGCAATATGATCACCTGGGAATTTGTTAGAAATGTAAATTTTCAAGGACCACCCTGGACTGCTAAGCAGAGCCCAGAAATTTGTGATTGTGAGCCTACCAGGGGATTTGGATGCAGGCTAAAGTTTGAGTGTCACTGGCACTTAAAATTTTTAAGTTTTTAATCTCTTTAAATATAAGATTTAACTTTCTGTTCTCTAAGAAGAAAATATAATAATAATACAAAAGAGAAATATTTACATTAAGGGTAATCTAGTACAGTTCTATTTTCCAGAAATAAACCTTTATAAACACTCAACATTAGTTCTAGTTAGCCAATAGGAAAAATGCTTAATGGAAGGGTAGGGAATAATTTATCCACAGGCCAGTTAATAAAACCCTGGAATGTTCTTGCCCAGAGCAAGTTTTCCAGCCATATTTCCTTGTTCTGGTTTGTTCTGATCACAAAGGCACCTTTCTAAGACATAATTAAGACTTCTAGCCACATCATACCTTTTAACCCAGGAATGTCACTGCTAGGAATAGAGAGGAAAATAAATTATACTCAACGATTTTCTCCAAAGCACTGTAAATAATAGAGGAGGGGAATCTGAAAGCAAGTTAAATGCCCAACAATTAAGAAATGATTCCATAAATTACAGCATCAACAGGATGGAATATTGCTCAACCATTAAAATGATGCTTTCCATATGAGATTTTAATATGGAAAAATGCTTACTTTATAGCATCATGTGTGTGTATGTTCTCTCTCTCTGTCTCTGTCGATTGAAAAAGACAATGAAGAACACCAAAATATTAATGCTGTTTATCTCTGAGTAGTAGGATTATGAATAGATTTATTTTGTGCATTTATAGTGTTTCTAAAACTTTCCATCATAAGAGTACACTTAATCTACTAATCAGAAGATCTACAAATATAATAATAGAACTTCTACTCTAAATTAGGATCTTCAAATAATGATTAATCAGTAAGCTTTCAAAAGACAGTAACTGGGAAAAACAAGTATCTTTTTCTCTCCCCATCCTACACTACTCTTTTCTCATATCACTCCTAACCCTTTTATTTCTTTCTTCACATCAGCTCTGCCATAACTCTATAACTAGAGATATGGAGACACTGAATATCCAATGTTTTTACAATTTTAAACTGTTCAGCTAAACAGTTTATCTTAGAATATATAAAAAGGAGATCAAATACCCCAATGGTTAAGAGAACAGACTTTAAAATCAGATCTAGGTTGGAGTCTTACTTTAGGGGAGCTCATACAGGTTTCAATTTCCTTAACCTGTAAGTGGGAGTACCAACCCTCCCTCACTGAACTGCTATGAAGATGAAATGAGGATGCATGTAAAGCATAAGATAGTAATAGGCACTCAAGAGAAGGTAACTGCTATTACCATTTTGTAGTTAATGTTCAAGTTGTTTTTGGTGGGACGCCTGGGTGGCTGAGTTGGTTAAGCACCTGTCTTCAGCTCAGGTCATGATCTCAGTGTCCTGGGATTGAGTCCCGCATCGGGCTCCCTGCTCAGCGGGGAGTCTGCTTCTCCCCCTGCCTGCATGTGCTATCACTCTCTCAAATAAATAAATAAAATCTTTGTTTTTGATAAACAGCCCTCAAATTTTAATTTTCCTGTGGGAAAAAGCTTAATGAGGTACAGTGGTTGCTCGTCATCTGGACTTCTCCAACCAAGTCTATTTCAAAAACAGTTTGGGAACTGCCAAAATACTCTGTACAAAGTGGGTGTTACTAAAACCCACCAACAAATTTATCAACGCTATTATTTCATGAAAGAAGAAGCTTTTGAACATCTACTAAAAAAAAAAAAAGTAGTCTCTGAGTAAAGGAAGTCATTCCAAAGAAAGGACAGTGGGTAACTGCATGCCAAAATCATCCTTACGCTTTCCATTTTGTCACCTACCAGTAAATAAACACCAAAAACAGTTTGCAAACTGACACTTGATGAAAGACTCTCAACTTCCTAGCCTGATTCTTCTCCATTAAATGAAGTTTTTCTATCTACATCATCGGATGTTCATTCAACAAACACTAACCAAACCTATTACTTGCTATTAAGCAAAGGAATTCAAGTTCAAATGAGGTTAAGTATATGAAAACATGATACACTATATGTATATTGCAAAGCACCATTAAGTTATATAGTATTGTTATTACCAAAAAACATAAATATTGTAAATTAATTCCTAAAAGGAAAAAATATTTCCCACCCACATGTTTTAATGTCTTAGTCATTTTCTATATTCATGCTATCACAAAGGACATTTAGAATTTTTAGAATGAACACTTGCCACACTTTTTCTTTAGAAAATAGTCATATTTGTGATATAGCTCATGACTCTGCCATTCTCTGTCTTATGAAAATTGAGAATATTACTTTTCCCTCAGATGGTATTGCTCTCAAGGGAAAGTTACTAAGCTAGAAATTGCTGCTATAATCACCAGCATGCAGAATCTGAATTTTAAGGAAGACAATTTAATAGGATTTAAAATACAAGTTCAGACAGAGAAAATTTTATTTTCTTATTTTTGAAAGTGTTGTTGTGGGGCGCCTGGGTGGCTCAGTTAGTTAAGTGTTTGCCTTTGGCTCAGGTCATGATCCTGGAGTCCCAGGATGGAGTCCGCATCAAGCTCCTTGCTCAAAAGGGAACCTGCTTCTCCCTCTGACCCTCACCCTGCTCGTGCTCTCTCTCTCAAATAAATAAATAAGATCTTAAAAAAAAAATAAGTGTTGTAAGATTTTCCAAATGTTAAAATTCACTGTCAAGTATTAGGATTGAGAAATAACAAGACACCAAATGTAGAAATTATATACAGTTTTATAATTTTCTTTGTTGCTTCTTAATCCACTGAAAATAATTTCAAAATATCACATTGTTAGGCATCTTCTTTGTTACTTTCTTCGGTTTCTACTTCTTTAGGCAACAATGGCTTGATCTTTAGTAACAAACCTTCACTTGTTGAAGTACGAAGGAAAGCTCGTACCACGAAAGGTCCTGGAAACAAACACAAGAATCAACTTTTATTTTATTCCATAAACATATGAGCAAATAGAAACATACGACAAACCTTATAAAACTCATGTTATATTTTCTCCTTGAAAAGTACTGATATTACTGAACTAATATTTTGAATTATAAGGAATATTCCCTCATGTCTAGCGTAGAAGACAAACTGTACTCTAGCATACTAGAGATTTATCCTTGAAACTACATATTCTGTAATAATTCATTTCTCTCTTCCAGAAGATAACCACCTAGAATTTATTTTACTGCAAAGCTGAAAGTGAAGGGAGCAGGTGATGATATTTACATTTGATGGCAATATTCTAAATATTTATTTGACACAGCACTGATGCTATTACTGTGTTACCAAACATTCAGTAAAATTCCCTAAAAATTAAAAAGCTTTAATGTTCTTTTTCATAAGAACAATTGAGGGACTTCATTTAAAATGGCAAAAAAAAGATGGATAGTTCAAGACGGCAGCATAAGAAGATCCTTAACTCACCTCCCACAGACACAGCAAATCTACAACTACATATGGAATAAAATCCTCGAAAAAGTCCTGAAGACCAGATGAGCAGCACATCCATAACAAAGGATAAAAGGGCTGCACTGAGACAGGCAGGAAAGTCAGAGACAACACTCTCTGAAAACCCCATCCCAGGCAAGGTGACTTACAATCAGGAAGGATTTCAAAAATACAGAACTTTTCCCTGAGGACCAAGGGTTTTGTCTCCCACACCAGGCACCCCAACCACTGTGTCCTGGACCAGAGAGATGAGCTCCCAAAATATATGGCTTTGAAAACCAACAGAGTGTATCCAGGAGAACCACAGAACTGGAAAGAACAGAGAATTTCTTAAAGGGATCACACACAAACTCACTCACTCCACAACCTGGTGCAAAAGAAGCAGTTTGAAAAGCCTCTAGACTGTATGTGAAGTAAACCGCCTTATTAATCTTAAAGCAACTGCTGGAAAGTAGGAACCTGCTGAGACTCTCTCTGGGGATGAAAGTGCAGGTGGATGCCATTTTTGCAATCTCATTCAACCCTGCTAATGCCAGTGCTTGCAACAGCCATGCTGGCAATCCCACTCTAATCTGCTAATGCCACTGGGCATGCTCTGCACCCCCGTGCCACAGCCAAAGCACAGCTGGTGGGCAAGAGCCCCATGCACAACTACCTTGCTGTGCTGCAGCCAAACCACAACCAGCCAGGTGAGCAGCCCCACCCAAAAACGCAACCTTTTGCACAGCCAGCCAGGTGAGACCCCACCCCTGCTACCTCATTCCTACCGTGCCACAGACAGACAAGCACCCCACACCCATCCCACCAAACCCCCCACACAGCTGGCAGGTGTGTGAAGCCCATACAGGGGATGCCCCTTGAGTGTGTGGCTCCCTCCTACTTCTAAACCCCACAGAAAATCTTGTACACAGGGCCACTCCCTCAAGACTGGGAGAGGGAGCTATTTCAATACATAGAAACACACAGAATCAGGCCAAATTAGGAGATAGAGGAATATGTTCCAAATGAAAGAACAAAGCAAAACCTGAGAAAAAGACCTTAATGAAATGGAGATACATAATCTACCTGATAAAGAGATCAAAGTACTAATTGTCATAAAGATGCTTACTCGGGAGAAGAATGAACGAACACAAGGAGAACTTCAACAAAGAGAGAGAAAAATATGTGAAAGTACCAAACAAACAAAAAAAAAAAAGAAAGTACCAAACAAAAGTCACTGAAGAATAGAGCTGAAGAATAAAATTACTGAACTGACAACTACACGGGAGGGGGTCAACAGCAGACTGGATGAAGAACAGATCAATAACCTGAAAGACACAGCAATGGACTCACCCAGACAGGGAAACAAAAAGAAAAATGAATTTTAAATAGTGAAAATAGCTTAAGGAACACATAGAACAACATTAAGCAGAATAACATTCTCATTACAGGGGTCCTGGAAGGAAAAGAAAGGGGCAGAAAACTTATACAAAGAAATAATAACTGAAAACCCTAACTTGAGGAAGGAAATCGACATCCAGATCCAAGAAGGTCAGAAAGTTCCAAATAAGATAAAAACCAAAGAGATTTACACCAAGACATGTTATAGTTAAAATGTCAAAAGTTAAAGAGAAAATCTTAGGGTGCTTCGGTGGCTCAGTCGTTAAGCGTCTGCCTTCGGCTCAGGTCATGATCCCAGGGTCCTGGGATCAAGCCCTGCATCGGGGTCCCTGCTCAGCAGGAAGCCTGCTTCTCCCTCTCCCACTCCCCCTGCTTGTGTTCCCTCTCTCACTGTGTCTCTCTCTGTAAAATAAATAAAATCTTTAAAAAAAAAGAGAGAGAGAGAGAGAGAGAATCCTAAAAGCAGTAGGAAAAAAACAACTTGACACATACAAAGGAAACCCCATAAAGCTAATAGCAAATTTTTCAGAAGAAACTTTGAAGGCCAAAAGTGACTGATGGGACATATTCAAGGTGTTTAAAGGACAGAAACTTACAACCAAGAATACTCTACGAAGAAGGTTATTATTCAAAATAGAAGGAGAGAGAGAGTTTTTCAGATAAGTAAAAGCTAAAGGAGTTCATGATCACTAAACCAACCTTACAAGAAATGTCAAAGGAACTTCTTTAAGCTGAAAGGAAAGAGTACTAATAATAGTAAGAAAACATACTAAAGTAAAAATCTCACTGGAAAATATGTTGTAAAGGTAGTACATTTACTCACTTATAAAGCTAGCATAAAAGTCAAAAGACAAAAGTGGCAAAACTAACTAAAACTATAACAATTAGTTAAGGGATACATAAAATGAAAAAAGTGTAAAATGTGACATAAAAACCATAAAATACAGAGGGTGCAATTAAAATGCAGGTTCTGGAATAAATTTCAATTAAGTTTTAAGCTACCAATTGAAAACAGACTGCTATATACATAGAATGGTATATGTGAACCTCATGGTAACCATAAAGAGAAAAACTTACCACAAATATAAAAAGAAAATGAGAAAGGAACCTAAACATAACACTAAAGGAAATTATCAAACCAGAAGAAAAGAGAGAAAGAGAAGAAACAAAGAGGAACAACAAAAACACTCAGAAAACAATTAACAAAATGGCAATAACTACACACCTATCAATAATTACTTTAAATGTAAATGGACTAAATCCTCAATCAAAAGACAGTGGCTGAATGGATTTAAAAACAAAAACAAGGGATGCCTGGGTGACTCAGTTGATTAAGCATTTGCTTTCAGCTCAGGTCATGATCTCAGGGTTCTGGGATCGAGTTCCACATTAGACTCCTTGCTCAGCGGGGAGCCTGCTTCTCTCTCTGCCTGCCACACCCCCTGCTTGCACTCTCTCTCTCTGACAAATAAGTAAAATCCTTAAAAACAAACAAACAAACAAAAACAAGACTCATCTATACTCATCTTTACCCTGCCTACAAGAGACTCAGTTCAGAAGTGAGGACTGAGGGCGCCTGGGTGGCTCAGTTGGTTAAGCAACTGCCTTTGGCTCAGGTCATGATCCCGGAGTCCTGGGATCGAGTCCCGCATCGGGCTCCCTGCTCAGCGGGGAGCCTGCTTCTCCCTCTGCCCCTCCCCCCTCTCATGCTCTCTCTATCTCATTCTCTCTCTCAAATAAATAAATAAAATCTTTAAAAAATAAAAATAAAAAAAAAAAAGTGAGGACTGAGGGGTGCCTGGGTAGCTCAGTCCATTAAGCGTCTGTCTTCGGCTCAGGTCATGATTCCAGGATCCTGGGATCAAGCCCCGCATCAGGCTCCCTGTTAGCAGAGAGCCTGCTTCTCTCTCTCCCTCTGTTTCTGTGCTCTCTCTCTCTCTGTCAACTAAATAAATAAAATCTAAAAAAAAAAAAAAAAAGTAAGGACTGAGAGTAAAGGGATGGAAAAAGATACTCCATGCAAATGGAAATAAACAAAGTTGGTGTAGCTGAACTTACCCAACAAAATAGATTTTAAAACAGATTGTAATAAAAGACAAAGAAGGGCATTATTACATAAAGATAAAAGAGTCAACCTGGCAAGAAGATATACCACGTATAAATATTTATGCACCCAACACAGGAGAACCAAAATACATAAAGCAAATATTAACAGACCTAGAGGAAGAGATTGACAGCAATAGTAGGGGATCTTAACGCTCCACTTACATCAATGGTTACATCACCTACACAGATAATCTATAAGGAAAGATCACGCTTAAACAACACATTAGACCAGATGGACTTAATAGATTTATACAGAACATTCCATCCAAAACAGAACATACATTCTTGTCAAGTGCACATGGAACATTCTCCAGGACAGATCATGGGTTAGGCCACAAAACAACTCTCAGTAGACGAACCATGAGAGACTATGGACTCTGAAAAACAAACTGAGGGTTCTAGAGAGGAGGGGGGGTAGGGGGATGGGTTAGCCCGGTGATGGGTATGAAGGAGGGCACTTATTGCATGGAGCACTGGGTGTTATACACAAACAAGGAATCACGGAACACTACATCAAAAACTAATGATGTAATGTATGGTGACTAAGATAATAAAAAATAAAAATAAAAAAACCAACTCTCAGTAAATTTAAGACTGAAATCATATCAAGAATCTTTTCTGACCACAATGGTATGAAACTAGAAATCAATTACAAGAAGAAGACTAGAAAAACCACATAAACATGGAGATTAAATAACATGCTACAACAATGGGTCATCAAAGAAATAAAAGGAAAAATTTAAAAATACCTAGAGACATAAGAAAACAGAAATATAACATACAAAAATCTATGAGATGCATCAGAAGTGGTTTTAAGAGAGAATTTCATAGCAACACATGCCTACCTCAAAAACACAAGAAAAATCTCAAACAATTTAACTTTAAAACCTAAAGGAACTACAAAATGAGGAACAAATGAAACAAAGTTAGCAGAAGGAAAGAAATAATAAAGATATGAGTGGAGGGCGCCTGGGTGGCTCAGTTGGTTAAGCGACTGCCTTCAGCTCAGGTCATGATCCTGGAGTCCCGGGATCGAGTCCCGCATCGGGCTCCTTGCTCAGTGAGGAGTCTGCTTCTCCCTCTGACCCTCCCCACCTCAGCTTTCTCTCTCTCTCAAATAAATAAATAAAATCTTTAAAAAAAAAAAAAAGATATGAGTGGAAATAAATGGAAAAAAAAGAAAGAAGCGAAATAGACCTAAAAGGGCAATAGAAGAGATGAATGAAACTAAGAGTTGGTTCATTGAAAAGATAAACAAAATTGACAAACCATTAATTAGACTCACTAAGAAAAAAAAAGGGTGGCTCAAATAAATAAAATCAGAAATGAAAGAGAATTTTAACTGATACCACAGAAATACAAAGGATCGCAAGAGACTACTATGAACAATTACATGCCAACAAACTGGACAAGCTAGCAAAAATTATCAAATACCTAGAAACAAACAAACTTCCAAGACTGAATCAGGAAGAACAAAAAATAATAACAGACTGATAATAGCAAAGAGACTGAATGAATCAGTAATCAAAAACTTCCCAACAAACAAAAACCCAAGACCAGATGGCTTGACTGGTGAATTCTAACAGACATTCAAGGAAGATTTAGTACCTAGCCTTCTTAAGCTCTCCCAGAAAACTGAAGAGGACAGAATGCTTCCAGACTCATTTTATGAGGCCAGTATCATTACCCTGATACCAAAATTAGACAACAACGCCACAAAAAAAAGAAGAAAATTACAGGTCAATAACCCTGATGAACACATATGCAAAAATCCTCAACAAAATATTAGCAAACCAAATTCAAATATACATTAAAAGAATCATACACCATGACTAAGTGGGATTTATTCCAGGGATGAAAGGATGGTTCAACATGTGTACATCAATGTGATACAGATTAACAAAATGAAAAATAAAAATATGATCACCTCAATAGATGCAGAAAAAGCATCTGACAAAAGTCACATCCATTTGCAATAAAAACTTTCAACAGGGCGCCTGGGTGGCTCAGTTGGTTAAGCTACTGCCTTCGGCTCAGGTCATGATCCTGGAGTCCCGGGATCGAGTCCCACATCAGGCTCCCTGCTCAGCAGGGAGTCTGCTTCTCTCTCTGACCCTCCTCCCTCTCATGCTCTCTGTCTCTCATTCTCTCTCTCGCAAATAAATAAATAAAAATAAAAAAATAAAAAACTTTCAACAAAGCAATTAAAGAGAGAACATACACACCTTAACATAATAAAGGTCATATACAAACCCACAATTAATATACTAAATGATGAAAAGCTGGAAGCTTTTCCTCTAAGATCAGGAACGGAGACAAGGATGCCCACTCTCACCACTATTACTCAACATAGCATTGGAATACCTAGTCACAGAACTTAGGCAAGAAAGAAAAAAAAAAAAAGGCACCCAAATAGGAAAGGAAGATGTAAAATTGTCCATGTCTGCAGAAGACATGATATTATATATAAAAAAAGATGAAGATTACACCAAAAAACTATTAGAACCAATAAAAAAATTCAGTAAAGTGGCAGGGTACAAAATCAATATACAAAAATCAATTGTTTCTATACACTAACAACAAATTACCAGAAAGAGAAATTAAGAAAACAATCCCATTTACAATTGCACTGAAAAGAATAAAATACCTAGGAATAAATCTAATAAAGAAGGTGAAAGATTAGTATACTGGACACTGCAAGACAGTGATGAAAGAAACTGAAGATAATACAAAGAAATAGATATTCCATGCTCATGGATTAGAAGAATTAATATTGTTAGGATGTACATATTACCCAAAGCAATCTATAAATTCAAAGCAATCCTATCAAAATTCCAATAGTATTCCTCATAGAAATAGAACAAATAATTCCAAAATTTGTATGGAACCGCAAAAGACCCTGAATAGCCAAAGCAATCTTGAGAAAGAACAAAGAATGAGATATCAAGCCTCCTGATTTTAAACTACACTACAAAGCTACAGTAATTAAAACAGTATGGTATTGACATAAAAAGACATATGGATTGATGGAACAGAATAGAGAGCCCAGAAATAAAACCATACATATATAGTCAATTAATCCACAACAAAGGAGGCAAGGATATACAATGGAGGAAGGACAGTCTCTTTAATAAATGGTGTTGGGAAAACTGAACAGCTACATGCAAAAGAGGGAAACTGAACCAATACCCCACACCACATACAAAAATTAACTCAAATAGATTAAAGACTTGAAAGTAAGACCTGAAACCATAAAACTCCTAGAAGAAAACACATTTGGTAAGCTCCTCAACATTGGTCTTAGCAGGGGTTTTTTTTGATGACTACAAAGGGCAAAAATAACAAAATAAACAAATGGGCCTACATCAAACTAAAAAGCTCTGAACAGCAAAGGAAACCATCAACAAAATCAAAAGGCAAGCTGGTGAACAGAAGAAGGTATTTGCAAATCATATATCTAATAAGGGATTAATATCTAAAATTTGTAAAGAACTCACACAACTCAATAACCAAAAAAATCCAATTTAAAATTGGGCACAGAATCTAAATAGACATTTTCTCAAAGACATACAAGTGGATAACAGGCACATGAAAAGAAGCTCAACATCATTAATCACCAGGGAAATGCAAATCAAAACCACGAGTTATCACCTCACACCTGTCAGAGTGGCTATTATCAAAAATAATGGTTGGCAGGATGTGGAGAAAAAAAGAACCCTCATGCACTGTTAGTGGGAATGTAAATTAGGGCAGACACTGGAAAAGAGAATGAGGATTCCTCAAAAAATCACCAAGAGAATGACAATATGATCCAGCAATTCCACTTTTGGGTATATATTAGAAGAAAATGAACACACTAGTTTGAAAAGATACATGCACCCCTGTGTTCCTTGCAGCATATTTACATTAGCCAAGATATGGAAACAACCTAAGTGTCCATCCATACATGAATGAATGAAGATGTGGTGTATACACACACACATACATGCACGCGCGCATGCGTACACACACAATGGAATACTACTCAGGCATCTTAAAAAATGAAATCTTACTATTTGTGACAGTAATGGACCTTGAGGATACTACGCTAAGTGAAATGAGTCAGACAGAGAAAGACAAGTATCAGCGATTTCATTTTAAGTGAAATCTAAAATACAAAACAAACTAACAAAACCAAACCAAACTCAGTCTCATAGATACAGAGAACAGGGTGGTGGGTGCTGGGGGGAAGGGATTTGGGGGAGGGGACAAAATGGGTGAAGGGAATCAGGAGGTACAAACATTCAGTTATGAAATAAATAAGCCAAGGGGATATAATGTACAGCACAGGGAATAAAGTCAGTGTTACTGTATTAACTTTGTATGGTGATAGACGGTAACTAGACTTATGGTGGTGATCAATTTGCAATGTATACAAATGTTGAATTATTACATTGTACACTTGAAACTAAAAGAATATTGTATGTTAACTACACTGCAATTTAAAAAATGGCAAAAAGAGGACACACTGCTTTTAGAGATTTGCTGTCCATCATTTCATTCCTGCCATAGTCTCAGAAGATCCTATACTGAAATCAGTGCTCCATGGAATATAAGAATGCATACACAGGGCGCCTGGGTGGCTCAGTTGGTTAGGCGACTGCCTTCGGCTCAGGTCATGATCCTGGAGTCCCTGGATCGAGTCCCGCATCGGGCTCCCTGCTCGGCAGGGAGTCTGCTTCTCCCTCTGACCCTCCCCCCTCTCATGTGCTCTCTCTCATTCTCTCTCTCTCAAATAAATAAATTAATTAAAAAAAAAAAAAGATTTTAAAAATGCATACACATACAATTACTAACTACCATGATCATATCTATGGCAGCAGAATTAACAAGTGAGGTATTTATTCACCAGTGGCTAACTCCCAAAGAAGGTAAAAAATAGCTTAGGATTATGTTTTAATTACACACTTGGTTATAAAACTAAACCTGACAGAGTCCTATCATGTTAAGTCTATAAATGAAGAGTCTACTGAGTATAATGAACCCTTTTTGGGCTGCAACCAGCCAGGAGTGAAATTCGTCTGAGGAGACAACATGCTTGGCACATAACGTGACAGTAAGGGTCTGGCTCTGTGTTCCCAGCCTATGAAACAGCTCCCACATCTCAATCAAGTTTCACTGCTCTCCATGAACCACCCTGTTTATAAGAGGTGACTCTCATGACATGATTAAAAACTTTGTTCTTTTTTAAAAATAAGTAAGATTAAAAAAGACAATTGCTAGTTCCAGTGATAAAGTGAATGATCTAGCCAAAAAATATTTCATAAATGATTTTATTTATTTATTTTTTTTAAGATCTTTTATGTATTTATTTGACAGAGAGAGACACAGCGAGAGAGGGAACACAAGCAGGGGGAGCGGGAGAGGGAGAAGCAGGCCCCCCGCCGAGCAGGGAGCCCGATGCAGGGCTCGATCCCAGAACCCTGGGATCATGACCTGAGCCAAAGGCAGACGCTCAACAACTGAGCCACCCAGGCGCCCCTGATTTTAGTTTCTATTTAACACCAATGCAAGTTTAAGGCAATCAGTTACAGCTTTCTTTCAACGTTTATTACATTTAATGGTAGAAAAAATGGAATTTACAAAGATTTCAGGATGTATTCCTTATTCACGTTAAAGAGGTCTCCTCTCCAAACAACTATAACTTGTTAATAAGGGGATTAGGAATCCTTTGGATAGTTAAATTTTATTTATTTAATCCCCGAAAATATTGCTGCTATTGGATATTGTACTTGCTATTACCTTGATTGTTTTCTTAATATTTTACATTTTTAAAGAATCCCAGAGCTCTAGGGAAGTGTACCCCAGGCAAATCACTTACCCAAACTGAGTGGTCTGTGCTTACAAACTTCACTGATGACTGCTTGCAGATTCGCAGCTATCTGGTTACTTAGCATATCCAGCTGAAATTAAAGGATATATAACAATAATGTGAAAGTGAGAAGATAATACAACTTCTGGTAACTGTACAAGTATTTATTTTAGTGTTTTTCAAATATTCAACTAATGCAAACTATCTATTAGGAGACATTACTGTGAAAGAAAAAAACTTCTGTAACTCTTCTTTTAGAATGCTACATTCACATGTCTTTACATGTCAAGACTTAATTATCTTACGGAACATGTCTTAGTAAAGTATTTTGAAGTTGCTCTACTTGAGATTCCTTGATTTCCAAGTATTTTCCCCAAAGCACATCCTGAGGCAGAATACACCATCCCCTGATCCCTACACCCAAGGTTTTAGGGATATTTTCTTGAAGTTTTTTGTTGATTTACTTTTATTTTTTATTATTTTTTTTAAAGATTTTATTTATTTGAGAGAGAGCACAAGCAAGGGGAGTTGGGCAACAGGGACAAGCAGATTCCATGCTGAGAGCAGAGCCTGACATGGTGCCCAGAGATCATGGTCTGAGTGGAAGTTAGACACTTAACCGACTGAGCCACTCAGGCACCTCTGTTATTGATTTACTTTTAAAGGAAACTAAGAAAATGCTTAGAAATTCATGCTTTCAGGGGCGCCTGGGTGGCTCAGTTGGTTAAGCGACTGCCTTTAGCTCAGGTCATGATCCTGGAGTCCCTGGATCGAGTCCCGCATCGGGCTCCCTGCTCAGCAGGGGGTCTGCTTCTCCCTCTGACCCTCCCCCCTCTCATGTGCTCTCTGTCTCTCTCATTCTCTCTGTCTCAAATAAATAAATAAAATCTTTAAAAAAAAAAAAAAAGAAATTCATGCTTTCAGGAGTACAAAATAAGACTACTTAACCACACACATTCACACAACACATATCTGATACAGAGACATCTTCAGGATGCTATGGTAACACTCTATGCAATAACAAATATCCTGCTATTCAATGAAAATTATAGTAAGTAAATATATAGTGAACAAGCCCTATTCATAAAACCTAGCTCACAACTTTGGAAAGTGCTTATGTTTATCATTCAAATTCAATGCATGTTACTCTTCTAAAATATACCAGTTAAAATCAGTTATATTACATCCCAATGTTTAAAGGATTTTACACTTTACCAAACGAATCAATTTTTAAAAAATTCATGTAAAACTCGTAATAGCGTAACTGGCAAAAAAAAAAAAAAAATCACATGGTAATAGTTCAAGTTCAAGCAAGGTTTCTATTTTCCAGGGACTCTGAGACCCCTGTGAGAAATGTGCTCTGTAAGCATGAAGAGAATTCCTCATGAAAAAAAAATATTCTCATCATCACCAGACAACATTTGACACTCACTTGGACATGATACAATATCAAACCCTAAATGAGAAGGTTTGGACATTATTGGAGGAGTTTTCACTTAAGCCAATACATAAGCGGGAGTTCTGAGAGAGAAAAAAAAATCAAGCAATGCTTAATTCACCTTCTTAAGTCCAGAGAACTTACAGCTTTAATCAAGTAGTTCACTGGCAGGAAAAGCACCTGCTATGTTAAAAAACAAAACAAAACAAAGTAAAACGAAACTAATGGTATCAACATGTGTCTCCATTCATTCCTCTCTTAATTCTCTACATTAATCAAATTGTCCTTCTTTCTATTATCAACTGAAGTAACCACCACAGCCCTAGAAGTTCCTTCACCCTTTGTTAAAGACCTATAGCTACCTTAAATTTGGGAAAGTAATAGATACAAGAAAAAGCAAGATGTCCAACATATGCTTTTCCTATTTACAATTAAGTTATGCTCTACACTGTTATACTATAATATACTGAACTAATATATCAAACAATACTTTTGTGGACTTACACTGTTTACAGTTAGCTAAAATAAGATGCTAAACACATGCAACATATACTTCCTCTGTGACTTTCATTATTAGGATGACTTCAAGGATTTCATTAAGTTCTAAAATATATAAAAATGTCTTTGAACACAGTTTACATTTTTGTCCAAATTTTAGCACCTCTAATCTTTAGTACTGTGTCCTCTGTTGAATTTTAAAATATTTATAACCGTAGTACTTCATTTTACCTTTTTTTTAGATGTTATATAAAATTATGAAAAATCTATATATTTTATGGTTTATCTAAACCATAAAATGTGATTACTTAATTGGCTACTGATGTTAATTATGGTCAAAAAAAGTATGCATGCATGAATTTTATCAAAATTTGCATAGGAAATGTATTTGGGCTGAAAATAACCTAGAGATAACTCAGGAAAGCAACATTTGCTTGCTTCTCTACCTCTATCTCAGTTACTCTGCACTTCATGGTGCTCTCATGCAATAACAATTTGTAATCTTACAAAGGTAAGGATGGACCATTTTGAGATGATTTATTATCTGTTAGATTCTCAGTATCAAAGCATAAGACTTGGTACACCAAAGGAAAAAAAAAAAACTGGGATTGGTGGACCCTGAACTATGGTAAGCATCATATTTGCACATGTGCATACATGTGCATTTGAGTATCTAATTACAGTACAATTACATCTAATTGAGTATCTAGTTACAATACTATTTATGTTTAGCTAAAGTGACTGCCCACTACAGGACAAGATAGTTATTCCTCATTCTGTAGCAGATATGGTTTCAAGAAAAGACTATCTTACTGAATCCTACCTTGTGCTTAACATCTTTTATTATGTCAGAAATAATTCCCTAAATGAATACCTACCGCTTACAACGATGTGGACGGAACTGGAGGGTATTATGCTAAGTGAAATAAGTCAATCAGAGAAAGACAAGTATCATATGGTTTCACTCAGATGTGGAATATAAGAAATAGTGCAGAGGATCATAGGGGAAGGGAGGGAAAACTGAATGAGAAGAAATCAGAGAGGGAGACAAATCATGAGGGACTCCTGCCTCTGGGAAACAAATTGTGGGTTGTGGGGGGGGGGGGGATCTCTAGTCACACTTGGAGAACTGCTAGACAAAAGGTTAAGTCTTAAAACATTTTGGAGGACTAAGGACTACAGTGTAGAAAAAGGATTTGACTTAATTATTTACCTTTTACAGGGGAATAAAACTAAGAAACAAACGACAACAACAAGCAATGTTCACATGATTTTTTAACAATCACATGATCCTCCCCAAAGTGGTCAGCTGCTGTCACTGAAATGTTCTGATAGCCCATAGATGAATGAGCATCTCTAACTGGAAACTGGAGAGAGGACTGCTCCTTTGGCAAGCACCTGTTAGAACATCTGATCTCCAAAATCTCTTCCAAATGCAATGTTCTAAGATTAAATAAAGGATGGCCTGGCATACAGTTTCTGCAGATGGGCCAATGGTCTTAATCACCATGACTCCTAACAGTCACAACCAAGAAAAGGGAAGATAATCTGTGTGCCTTCTACACAACATTAAGGAAAGTAATAAGAATAATTGATTGAATGAGCAGCTCTATTTATTGAGTAAATACTCTGTGCCAAGCTCTATTCTAAGCATTATGTAAATATTCTCATTCATTTCTCCCAAGAATCCTTTGAGATAGGAACTACTGCAATTCCTTTTTTACCATTAGAAACTGAGACTTGGAAAACTTTATAACCTATCCAAGGGCACACACCCCTGGTAAAGAGCAGCTCAGCAGCTGTGTGCATGAGCTCTAACTAAAGGCAGAGAAATCTAACCCTGGACACAGTTTTTAAGTGTTGGTAACCCTTATGAGAAATGAAGTATCAGTTGCCTGGAAAACACAAATGAGTTTGTTATAAACATAGGGTAGAAAAAGAGGAAACTAAGTGAAATGCTTAATGGAAAGGAAGATGCATTTAGGTGGGAAAAATATGAATTTTTCTCTCTACCAAATGAATCCTTTATTACCTTCCAAGCTTTTAGGTGGTAACATCATATAATTCAGCAACCCTTTTTTGGCTCCCACTCTATCCATCATCATGCTGGGAACTAGGAACAAAAGATGAATAAGATACAAACTTTGCCCTCAAGAAACTTACAAACTGGTAACTAAAATACAACATCACAGGTGCCACTCTAACTATATGAACAACGTAGCACCAAGGCACAGAGGAAGAAGTGACTGACTTTGACAGAGAAGGCTACCCAAAGAAGGGGGCATGTGAGTCTTAAAGATTAACTGAGTCTTAAAGGATGAAGAAGTTTCAGGGACAATGAGGATCTTCTAGGCAGAAGGTGTAGCATGAGATAATGTGGTAACAAGGTAGAACAGGTGACCATAACGTGGCTCACTATATCTAGGCCCAGCGTTGCAAACTCAAATGCCTACAGTGGCCAGAGCAGGTAATGTGTAGGATTCAGGAGGACTAGGTTTGGGTGCAATATGGCTACAACACCTGGGTGATGCAGGCTGTGCAGAAGTGGACAGTACCACTCCATATGGGGGAGGCAGGAAGCTACTCAGCACTAATAGACTGTTACACTGGGGGCTGTGGGGCCAGGGTTAACAGAATTCCTGACTTGTCAAGAACTAGAAATCTGAATTTCTTTGTGATATCATCTAGTTTTTAAATGCTGATTCAAGAAACAAAACAAAACCACTATATGGACCCAATAAGTATGGGGACCAAATTCAGCCTGTAAGCTGCCAATCTTCAGCCTGAATCACTGAAAATAGCAAGAAATACTGAATTTGAACTTGACATATTGATTGGAGACTACAGAAAGATTTGAATGTAAAGCTAAAGATTTTATTTAGAACTGCAAGCAGTGAGAAACTAATGTTTCTCAGCAGACAAATGGTATATCTGATCTAGGTTTTAGGAAGAATTCCACAGGAAGGAGGTAAAACAGGAACTGGCAAACTTTCTCTATAAATGGTCAGACAGCAAGTATTTTGGGCTTTGCAGGCCAGTCTGTGTTGCAACTACTCAACTCTGCCCTTTTTAGCACGAAAGAAGGACAATACATGAACGAATGAGCACAACTGTGCTCCAGTGAAACGTGCCTTACAAAAACAGGTAAAGAGCTA